CAACAACAGAAGCCGAGTACATAGCTGTGACAGAAGCTTGCAAAGAGATGCTATGGTTGAAGAAGTTTCTTCAAGAGTTGGGCATCAAGCAAGAGAGGTATGTGCTCTACTGTGATAGCCAAAGTGCAATCCATCTTTGCAAGAATCCTACTTTCCACTCAAGGTCGAAGCACATAGATGTTCGATATCATTGGATTCGTGATGTTTTGGAAGAGAAGTTGTTGGAGCTCAACAAAGTGCATACGGATGACAATGGTTCGGACATGATGACTAAGTCTCTACCAAGTGGAAAACATATCTTCTGTCGAGATGAAGCAGGTTTGGTGCTACCCCCCATATGAGCTGGAGGGGGAGATTTGTTGGGTTGGTCCAACTCATATGGTGGTTGGATTAACCGGTTTGAGTTTGAGTTTTTGGTTGGTTTCTAGAAGATCCTCTATTTTCAAAATAGAGAGTTATTGCTACTCAAAAGTGAAAAAGAGTTGACAGCCTTTCATTTTGTAGAGAGAGAATCAGAAAAGAGAAGAGATAAGGAAAAAGAGAGAAGAGAGGAAGAGCTGCAGTTTTTCGTTTCTGCAGCAGGGCAGCCTGTTCAAGTGAGAGTTATGGAAGATTGAACCGTTGGATCGTCCTGAAATTTGGACAGTAAGTTCGCAATTGTCTGGGCTTCATTCTGACCGAAGGGATCGTCATTCTGAGGTCTAGGTCGTCGGGAATCGCTGCTGGACAGAAGGTTTACGAATCTGTTTTTGGGTATCTCTCAACCTTTCTTTGTCTTGCTCTTGTTCTTGTTATCCACCATGTTGGTGAGAGCTATTATGGTTGATTGTTAATCCAAGAAGGGGGTTCTTGAGTTATTTGTAATCCTCTAGATAGTCTAGAGAGGACTTGTAATCCCACCAAAGTCTAGTGGAGTTGTGGCTTGGACAAAGGTCCCGTGGTTTTTCCCGATTTGGGTTTTCCACGTAAAAATCGTGTGTCTTGTCATTCTATTCTTGTTTGTGGTTGCTGCTCGGTTTCTCAACAAATATTATGTCATATCAATTAGAATACGACTCATTAGAACTTCATAACCGCATCATTCCTTTGGATGCTAGTTAAATCCCATGAAAAATAACCTAATCAGTCACGGAAATCCTGTGGCTATTTTATAATTTAGTCACACTAGTTTTTCCCGTGTTTAATTTGAAGTCACGGTAATTACCGTGACAAAATAGATCTGTTGTCATGGGTAATTTCCCGTTATTGTATTTTCGCGGTCACGGGATTTCCCGTGACTTTTGATCTTTGATCACGGGCACGCTTGACACGGGAATATACCGTGACAAAATCTTTCCATCACGGGAATCGGTTGTTCAGTCACGGGAAATCCCGTAATCGAAGGTGAATTTTCCTGTAGTGAACCCCTGTATTTTGCTCCTTTATTGTCCAAATGTTACGGCTTTGTTTTAAGATATGACAGTTTGCCTTCAATATTTATTAAGGTTATTTATGGAAAATAGCGGAAGTTTTTCATATTAATAATATCATGATATGATGTCGAAAAACTATTTTGTCAAACATAGGAATTCATACTAACAACATATCACTATCATATCATTGTGATATCATACCAATACCAGTGACAATATTATGATATGACAGCCGTATAATAACCTGAAAAGATTTTGCTCAATAAAATAATAAAATGAATATTATCTTGTAGAGTACAAAAGTTTTGATTTTTCTGTACAATTATTTACAGAATCTAAAGCAAAAGAAATGTCTTAACAACTTCCTAAAAGTCCACAGTACTAAGAACGCGCAACATATAATGCATCCGGCCGCACATGAACATGACTGGCCTTATTTTCCACAGGGATAAAATACTCTTCCGCATTAATGGCCATAAGATCTACAACCCCACTAACCTCCGCTATTGATCTTGCTCTTGTAGATATACAAAACCAAGGAATTTGTTACAGGAATTGGGGCTGGCTATTTGGTCCGGGTTTTTTGGTTTTACCTGAAACCGGACCGTATAATTCGGATCGAGACCGGACCGGATAGTAAACAATCCAATCCAATTTTTGGACTTAGATTTGAGGTAAAAAACCGTTCGGGACCGAATCGAAAACTGGATAAAGACCGGATAAGAGAGCTCAACACCCAAAACTTAAGGGTAATTTGCATAAACGGTCACAAACCTTTGCACTTAGTATAAAACTTAACCAACTCCTCACACTTTCAGGCCTTAGGCCACTCAATCCCCACAAGTTCAATATAAAATCAAGACCGAGTCGGGACCGGACCGGGTCAAGACCGAACTGTATCCAATTCAATTTTTGGTCCTTCTATTTTCAAAAAGACCGGAATGGAGCGGATCAATTTGGGCCAATTTAACCGGACCGGACCGTATAGCCCCCCTAACAGGAACCTCCTCCTTAATTATATGATTTTTTGCAATGATATTTTAAAAATAATTTTAAAATTGAGTGCATAGTATCTATGCTTTCATAATTGGACTAAACGTTGAATTGAAAAAGCTAGTGATTTAGGGTTTAGTGGTTAACCGTTGTAAAACAGTTAGCTAACCATTGATATAAGCGTTCATGATATATAATATACATGACTTGTATAATACACTAGTTTAAGAATCATATAAACCGTTTAAAATCCATATCATCATCAAAATATCTAACAAATCATTCAAACTGTCTTACAAAAAATCATAATTTTTTTAATTCAAGTTAAAAATTACGGTGTCAGTCGATAGTGGACCATGTAAAGTCGAGAACGAGGTTGGAAAATGAGAAAAAGGAAGCAGGAATAAAATTAATAATTCTGGTTTGATGGTCTTTACGTTAAATTATTTTTAAAAAGAATACTTTAGGACTAAAATAGTAAACTAACCAGTTAACCAGTTAAAACGTGATGGTTCATCTGATTTTATATTAAACCGTAAAAACAGTCAAATAATGAACTGAACCACTATCATAACTGGTTTAGCAATTCTACCGCAACCGCCATTAATTTGGTTCAGTTCTTCTAACAATGATAATATCCACTCATTCTTAACACGCCTTTATATCCTGTGTTAAACTTATATACGTGTTCCTTGTTTTTGTTGAAAGCTTTCCAATGGGCTTTACACTATGTTCATGAAGGAAGGGAGGAAAAGGAGGGGAGGGGAGGTTAAGTTTGGAAGGGAGGGAAATTAGAGGGAATTGGAAAGAAAATGTTGTTTAATGGAGGAAAGTGGAAGGGAAAGTGGGAGGGAAAAAGTAGATTGGGAATTGTGATATGTATTATATTTTATTGATGATAGAATAGTTAAATAATTTAATTATGTGTTTATACTATTTACATTAATTATGTAATGTGGATCAAATTTGTTCTTCTTTGTTAATTTTGTTAACTATAACAAATCAAAAGTTGGTTATTTGAATGAAATTTGTCAACCTATTACTAAAATTTTGTTAACTATTTTATTGAGTAATAACATAGCAACTAAATATATAAACATACAACAAATTACAGATACATAAATTGTAAGAGGAGCGTAACAAGTTTTTATATCTCATACAACAGTGTTATGTATCGTGCAAAACAACGTTACGTATGAGGTAAATCATCTATCTTGTTTGGTAGGATATTTTTGTGCCGAAATCCAAGTTACACAGATTTTACGCTTTGGAAATTATAAGCTTACACTTTTACGCTTCTAGATTATAAAAATGATTCTACGTAGAATCGTGCTTTTCATTTACAAGCGTAGCCAAAATAACTTTTTACAACTTAAAAGCTTACGATTTTACGCTTTTGGGTCACCCAAACGCTTCTACGTAGAATTGTGTTTTTGACTGTATTGAATGGTTCTATATGGTTCATGTCATTATCTTAATTATAAGGATTAATACCGATTATTACAAATATTACTTATTCCTATCTATATCTATAACCCACGTCATCTTCTTTTCATTTTAGTTTTGAGTTTGTTGGACCAAAGTAACAAAAATAAATACGAAAGAAAAGTCTAAAATAAATACGTACAAGTAATTAGTCCAAACAAATAACACATAAATTAAAATAATTACACAAGCGAATTGCAAGACATGACTAACGTTTGTGTAGTTGCACTAAAACCCTCCACTTTAAAAAAGGAAACCATCAAGTATTAAAGTAGCTGAAAGAAAAAGAAAAAAAGGTAAAATTGCACAACACAACTTTCCCTCCGATTTGGAGGGTAGCTTGGTACAGTGTTTTTCCTTTTCCTTTTCTTTCCTTGGTTACTGTTCCAGGTCTACAAAAACAGGTGCTTCCCCTCTAATCCCTCCCCTCCCCTCCCTTTCCCTCCTTCATGAACATAGTGTTAGTGACCGCGTCCAGTAAGGAAGAAAGCCTGCTATCTTTCAGGTTCTTACTTGTGACTATACTGAAGTCCAAACCAGTCAAAAACAGCGTGACCCACTTACAAATTAATATTGAAAATAATAATAATTAATTGTAATTTGCCGTTTCAATTCCTTTCCTTCCTAGCCATATATAATATAATTCCCCCACTTGGTATTTGGTTATCCTTTCCCTGCCTATAGGTTTTTTTTTTTTTTTTTTTTATAGAAGCCTATAGGTTTTTTATTAAGCCCTAATAACATACCAATGTCTCCATTAACTTAATTAAAACAAAGATTTGCGACTTAACCATCCATCCACTGATCCAAAAAGCAAGCATCATCTTTCAATTGTAGACCACCAAGAAGTACTATAATAATAAGTCCAGCAAAACAACATGCACTGACCGAAAGAAACAGAGGAAGATCTTTCTCAGGAAACAAACGGAAACTACAACCAGTCAACCACCAATAGGCAGTAAGTATCATATATAAGCCCTCTCCAACCAAACTCATAGCTCATACTAACCAAGCCAACTGAAAACCCACAACCAACTTAATTCAATTTCACCCCTTTTCTTTCAGACAATCTTCTATTTTCTAACATCGTCCCAAAAAAGACATAAAAAAATGAGTGTGGAAGTTCTAGATGGCAACACCATCGTCAACTTTGTTGGCGACGAGGAAGCCTTCACTGTCTCGGTTCACGAGCTATTCGTGAACCTAAACAGTGATCACGATGGCCAGCTCTCGTACTCGGAGATGCTGAAGGAGCTGCAGAATTTGAGGGTCTTCGAGACTCATTTTGGCATCGACCAGAGTATGAGCCCCAGCGAGTTGGCTAGCGAGTACGAGTCTTTGTTCACAAAGTTCGATCATGACTCGAACGATCGGGAATGTGGATCTCGAGGAGTTCAAGGCTGAGACGAGGCAGATGATGCTGGCAATGGCGAGCGGGATGGGGTTCTTGCCGGTTCAGATGGTGCTTGAACAGGACAGCCTACTGAAGAAAGCCGGTTCAGATGGTTCACAAAAAAACTCAATCACTAATGATCTTCATTTATTAAAAATATATTTTAATATTTCAATTCTCCCCCTTAAAATATATTTGGTCTTCTTATCATACTTGTACTTTGTACAACGTCCATACTGCTCCACGATGTCAATGTTATTTGCAATATCTCAAAAAGAATGCCGAAGCAAGTATGCCAAATATCACATCTACAAGGGATGAGGGGGGAATACTACTACCCGCCCCGTCTCCATTCTTGGCTCATTCTATTTAATTTCTTATAATATTTATTCATATTTATTCTATTTGGACTAGTCTTCAACTAATAAGATTTGATCTTTCAATTAGTTAGACTCAGTTAACCATTATGTGATCACTATTTTCATTCATAAAGTGTTTTTTCTTCATTTTATTGTAAAAAGTAAAATTTTGCGTATATTTTTTTCAAATAGCATATAAGAATGGATCGACCCAGTCCACCTCGCATCCGCAGAATGTTATCTGCCTCGACCCGCAATAACGTGTGTGATGGGACATGTATATTGAGGTACCCGCCCCGCCATGTTACCATCACGACCGCTGAGGCATACACCATACAAGAGTCAAGACACGAGCAGAATGCCAAATTAAACCATCCAAACAGGGTATGAGTCGTACGACAGTGGAAATTGCAGCTACAATATAACAGCATAATTAACAAACCGTTAGAATCCATTGAGGAAGAAGAACTAATGTGAGGATATGATTTGCGTGCATTCCAAAACTAAAAGAGATCGGAAGGAGGCAAACTCCATCGATCTTAACCCTCCCGTGATGGAGTATACGAAGGTTCGTTTTTGGGTCCGAAAGACACTAAACTAAACCAAACGATCTTCCACACAACAAACAATGAAAAGGGCATATACACTTAATTCCCCTTCATGTCCACAGTATATAATCCCCATGCAATTCAACATTTCATTTCACCCCAAAACAAGAGAGAGAGGATAGAAGGGGGAAAAAAAAAAAAAGGAAGCAACATTATGAAGAAGATGGCAAGTACTACTACTACTAGCATTGTTTTTCTGGTCGCAGTTGTCCTGCTGGCCAGTACTACGACTACCCTCCCCGCGGAAGCCGGGAAGAAAGTGAAGGTGCCGGTGGTGTGCAACTCAAGAAACTTCAACGGCACCGACGAGCCTCAGGCCACGGCGGCGAGGGACGAGGTCCTGTGCCGCTTGGTAGGGGTGACTAGCTCGCACCCGAACAAGAAGCGGTTCTGCACCTCCACCGACGTCGTCGACGGCAGTGGGTTCGCCGTCACCGGCCTGGCCACCTGCGCCCGGCGGTTCGAGGAGTGCGCCAGGTGTCTCAACAGGGCCAGGAACCTTCTGAACCAGCTCTGCAGGAGCGGCAGCGGAGGCCACATTAATTTGGTTGATCAGAATCCCAAATGTTCCGTCAGATATGAGAAGGAACAATTCTGCTAATTAAACCTTACAGTGAAAGCTATACTATATCTATGTGTGCCCTTCCAATAGAATAGCTTATAACACGACCCGTCGATCGAAGGTAGCTGAGTTGAATATTGAATTATTGGTATGAATGTAATAATCCTATTTTGCTAATGTATATCGTGAGGGCAACATCTCATTAATCACTTGTCATTAGTTGGTAATAGAATAAGAAATAAGTTTACGTGAATTTCTTCCAGTGTTTAGGATAGCAAAGAAGACTACAGAAATGAGACCTACTTCGAGTTAATTAAACTGAACATCTAGCCGTATTCTTTGTATCTACCAGACAGGCGAGGACAACACCAATGTAGTAAAAACGCGTCTTAAAAAGTACAGACACACGTTTTACGTTTCTAACTAGAAAAAACACTTCATTTTCTATACAAAAACGTATAATGTGTAAAAACGTATGAAAAAGCGAATAATAACGGTTAAAAATACGCTTCTGCTCCGTTTTTGTACGTTTTCAGTTGAACAAGTTTCAATCAATTTCACAACCTCTCTTCCAAAAATCCAGTAGTCATAACATCAATCCCGACGGTCAAACCACCTTAAAATGAGTTTAAAACCAGTTCTCAAAGTTTGAAGATGATCCAACAGCTGGTTTCTCCGTAATCATCGCTGGAACCATCTGCCCAATTATAGGAGAACAGGGTCGTACCTTGTGTGACCAGCAACGTTTCTCAACGAACTAGATATTATAACGGCAATTTCAACGGTCTAATCGGATCCCATAAAGTATGGAACACGTCCTCTAAATTTGAGGACGATCCAACGATGAGGTTTACTGAAATCTCCTCTTGAGCTCACTACTTTGCTGCAAAATGAAAATTCTCTAGCTTCTCTATTCCTCTCGTCTTTTCTTTACAATTTCTAGCTCTAATTCCCCCTAAATTTTTTGGTTACTTCAAGATTTGATGTTGGTGATGATAAGGATATGAGGATTTGGAGAGGAAAGAAAGGACCGAAAAGGGGGAAGCAAAGGAGATGAATGAGGGTGCAGATTAAGAACTAAAGTATTAAGGATGAAAGCGAGAACGACTTTCATGTAAGAGGAAGTAATTTCTAATAATGTGTTAGTAAGGGTTTGCTTAGGCAAAGACCTTAGGAAGTAATGACGAGACTGACCCCTTCTCACTCACCAGGTGAAGGAAGGGTTAGCCGAGGTGGATCTCGAGGAGTAGCAAGGCGAGGCGAGCAACCGTTCCAGCATTGAGAAGAAGCCAAGAAGCTCATGAGAATTCAGAGCTAGAACAATTTAATTACTTTTATTGCATGGTTAGCAGTATAAACCGGAGATTTTGGGTAAAGTTTTTTTTAATTATTTAGATAGAGATTTCCCAAGTGTTATGGCTTTTCGTTTGGAATTCTTAAACTTCGTCAGTTTGTTTATTTTTAAAAAGTGGTTTGGATTGCTTCGGAGTAATCGGTTTTTGGTTTGAGTACTGGTTTTGGTTTCAAAGGATTGGGTTATTTTATTTTGGTATCAGAGCCGACATTCCTCTGTTTCTTGGTTTTTAAGGAATACTGGAGTGACGATATGAGTTATGCAAGGTTTCGGTTTTTAAAGGAAAGGAAGAGGAGGAATTTTAAAATGCTATATAGTATTGGTGCTATAAGGTTTTGCCTTTATGGTAAAACTTGAAATTGTACCTTTAACGTTGTGGTACAACTTCAGATTGTACCTATACTTTTTGTACAAATTCTTTTATGGTACAACTTGAACTTGTACCTTTATGTGATGGTACAACTTCAAGTTGTAAAGTTGTACAATAACATAATAGTACAAATTCATTTATGGTACACCATGAACTTCTACATTTAACATTATGGTACAACTTTAACTTATACATTAAAGCACTAATACCTTATAACATAGTAGAAGTGTTCAAAGAAGAGGGGTGTCAAATAAAAGTTTCACCAAACGAGTGTAAGGTCTTTTGAGGATATGAGAAGGACAAGGTCGAATAAAAAGCATCACTATCTAATTGTTTACCCATAAAAATTAACCTTGTACCACATCGATTTTAAAACAAGGAATTAAATGGCTTTATAAGGCCAACTTAATCATATCAGTTTAAATCAGTTGAGTGGGGCATGGGGATTGGGTTTTTTGGCCCATTACTCTGTGCCACCACGCGCGCCATGCATATCCAAATTTGACTAAGTATGGGAGCCACCCCCATGACACACAGAGGGGGGTGGGCATCATACTACCACCCCCAGGAGATACCAAGGGGGGTGGCCACCATCATACCACCCCCAGGACGTGCCAAGGGGGTGGTCACCATCATACCACCCCCCATGACGTGGTAAGGGGGGCGGACATCATACTGCCACCCCCATGACATGGTGAGGGGGTGTTGGCCGAATTTGGCTAAGGCAAGGAGTCATGGCGCCTTGGTGAGACCAGAAGAGGTAAAATGTGGCTAAGTATGGAAGATGATGCGGGTGGCAAGGAGCACCCCCATGAGGTGGTCTGGGGACCACCAACATACCACCCCCATGGTATGATCAGGGGGTGGGGGGTCACCAATGTCAGCTCCCATGAGGATGATATAGTGGTGGGGTGATCCATATTTTCCCCATGGGGGATGCCCCCAATGGTATTGTCAGAACAGAAGCGTGCAATCGATAATCCAAACCAACACGAACGAACACAAATTTAACGTGGTTCACTAACACAATGTGTGCTAGCTAATCCACGGGCAGAGGAGAACAAATTTCACTGATTTGAGGAGAGTACAGGTTACAAACCAAATTCCAAATGGACAAACCAAACAAACTAACCTGACTAACCTTACTACATACTAGGGTGATGAAGAGTATTTATAGAACTCTTCTCCTAATCCCAAACAGAAAACCAAATACCTTTTCCCAAACATACAAGGAAAAAGGGGCCAAACACAAACCTAAACAAAATAGGCCCAAAACACAAAACAAACCCAAATCAAATTCAAGTCATATTCAAACAATCTCCACCTTGACTTGAATTCTCTCTCAAATACCAGATGTACCAGACGTGATTCATATCGCCAAATTTACCCAGATGCGATCGTAATTGCCAGATATCCATATGTGATCGAAATCACCAAACTCAAAAGCGATGCAAATCGTCAAACTCAGATGCAATCAGAATTGCCAGACGTACCAACTCCTCCAAATCAGCTGTACCAGAATCTCCCCTATCTCCAAATGCCCCTAAGGGCGGTCAACAACTCAAACCATTCGGCAAGTCCAACCCATGCTGAGACTTGCCACTCAAAACCAACTTGGTGCACTTATCACCAACAGAACATGTCAAAACAGAACTTTGTAGATTATACAAGGCACCACGCTTGACACCTTTCAAAATCACCTTAGAACCTTTGTAGACAGACAACACTCCACCTTCACCTTTGAAACTGAAACCCTTG